TTCTGGGCATATAAAAGACTTTTATGCTTTAATCTGATTGCTGGGAAAATAATAAACGCCTATAAAAAAAACATTTTTTATTTCAAATTTACTGTCTAAACTTAATTCTAAGATAGAATCTAAAATCACAGAATTAAAAATAGGGATATCCTCGATTTTTTGTTTAAGAATAGTCCTCGAAAAATTAATCATTACATCGAATGAAATATCTTTGCAGTGCTTCTTCTTCTCGAATCTACCATGATTTTCTGTAAATTCAAGCTCAAGTTATTTAATTTTAAAAGGTATAAGTTTAAATTACATCACACATAATTTCTCTACATTATTAAATTATTTGGCTTGTTTGCTTATTTTTGACACAATTTTTAAATCTTAAATTTTCATATTCTCATTTAAAAGAATATCCTTAAATTCTATTTTCAATATAAATGTAATTTGCTCATTCTTAAAAACCAATTTAATTTCTTTTTAAGCTACTTATAAATTAGGATTATGTAATTTTTCAAAAATCGATGTGTATATTAAAATATCAAAAGAATCATTTGTTATTATATCGATATTTAATTCTCTGATATCTTATATAATTTCAAATGAAGTTTAGCCCTACAGATTATTTGCTAAAATACAATTTCCTTTAAAATTTCCTAGGTGAATTTAAGGTTTATAAAATCCTTCCTATTGAGAAATTATTATTTTACCCTCTAATAATTCTATATATATCAGTTCATGAAAAATCTACGAAACTCCATCTTCAAAGTTTATTTATGGATTGTAAGAATGGCTATATATTTATAACTGGAAGGATTAATTTCTGAAAAAAAAAGTATCATGTTTGAGGTAAGACTTAACATTCATAATTTCTTTTAAATAAGATACTAAAACAAATTATGATATTAAGGTTGACTTCAATATAATTTAATTTTTGAAATCAGATTGTTCTTTAAAAGATAATTATAACATGAAAACACTCTTTAGAATTTAAATACCAATCTAAAAAATAACAACTTTAACCTTTAGAACAAAAGCAGGATTTTAAAATTTAATGTAATTTGCCAAATTTTTAGAATATAAATAATCTTTCTTAATTAGTTCACAATTTAAATAGCATTACTCAAAGTTATAATTCAACTACTTTATATAATACACTTTTGGCATAATTTCATAAAATTCCTTTGATATGCCTAAGCTAGACAGTCCTAGTTGGATTGGATCAATAAATTTATTGATATTTTAACCACTCGCAATAAATTTTATTTCTTTCATATTATTAAAAGAAAGCTAAATTTATTGAAGTTCATTTTCAACTAAATATATGTCTCCTTATATAAATAAATCCTCTTAGTTATTTATATTTTTCAAAATTAATTTTAAATTCTTAAGACAAAGGTATTCATTAATATTCTAATCATTTTAAATAATTATTTCCAGTGTAAAAACTAATTAATCATCCTTAAATTTAATTTAGTTTTTATTATGATTGGTTATAGAGAAACTAAAATCTTAATTCAATAAAAGTTGTTTATAGTTAATTGTTTTTTATAATAATAATTTGTTTATTTTGAATTAACCTAAGTATTCTAAAAAATTTTCAACTGAATATTTTTTACTCATTTTTATAAGTTCTATTTTCGAATTTATATAAGCATAATCAGCTAGCTCAGTTCTTCCTAAAAAAGAGATTCCCTAATAAATTAAATCAAATTATATAAAAGAACAAGCTTTATCATAGGAATTAAATGAAATTAAAATATTTTTGAGTAGCTAGGGTTATCTAAGATAATTATTTCACTTAATTCAAAAACCATTAGTTGAAGCGATATTTCTCTAATATTTGATTTAAAGTCTCTTTTAATGTCTCTTAGCAGTCAGATTACTCAAGAGTAAATTAAAGTTTATCTATTTTAATATTCGAACTATCTACTTTAATAGTACAAATTTTCTTTCCAAAAACCGAAAAATCTCTTAAAACTAATGATTATAACTATAAATAATAATTTAATTTTGTTTAAAATAGTATTTTTTTTGATTCTATTTTACAAAAAGTAAACTTGGGTATTGTTATAGTTTCTTCTGTCATTAAATGAATTTTCAGTTCTTTATTTTACAAATCAATCAATGATTTGTTAAATTTACACTGTTTAAGGTATTTTCCAACAGCTTAATAAAAAGGGTCCCATTATGTGCTATTAAAAAGATACTCGCTATAAGTCGAGGTTGTTTAAAGACATTAAATTTCTCCAATATAGCAATCAAGTACATTTAACTAAAAATTAATAGAAACATTAGAAATTTCATTCTCTTTTATGATTATTGTACTATTTACTTTTTTTGAATTACAAAAATTGCAGAATTCAAATTAATATTCGGACAACTAATAATTCAAGAAGATTGAAGTTGAGCTAGTCAAATTAATAATTCATTTAACACTAGCATTTTTATAAAAATCTTTAAGTATTTCAAATACCTTTTATTGATTCTTTGTAAATGAATTAAATTGTAATTAATTAAAAATGTTTAGAGAAGATTACTCTGATTCTTTTGATAGTTCTAAAATATAATCATATTTCCAATTACCTTTAATCTCTGAATA